GCCAAGCCAAGAAAGGAAGACTTAAATTACCTTTCCATACTTCTGGGCATAGGATCCAGTAAGAAGAGAGTGGAAAATGATGATCGTTTCATCCAAGTCCCACAGAAATACCCGCTGAGAGAAGAAAATATAAAAAAAAAATGAGTATCTTCTCCAATCACAGTGGAATAAAATAAGAAATAAATAACAAAAGAAAAACTGGAAAATTCACAAAGATGTAGAAATTAGACAAGACAATCTCAAACAACCAATGTGTCAAGCAAAGAAAGCGAGAAAAGGTAAAATGAGAAAATACCTTGAAATAAACAAAAACACAACATATTAAACTTACGAGATACGGTGAAAGCAATGCTAAGACATTTATAGCTGTAAACACATACATTAAAAAACATCTCAGATCTATAATTTAATTGTATATTTTAAGGAACTAGAAAAATAAGAGCACAAGCAGCAGAAGGAAGAAAATAATAAAACTTAACGTGGTGATAAATAATAAAATAGAGACTAGAAAAATAATAGAGAAAAATCAGTAAGACCAAAAAAGTTGGTTATTTAAAAATATCCATAAATTGACAACATTTAGGTAGACTGACAAAATTTTAAACAAGACTCAAATTACTAAAATAAAAAGTGAAAGTGGAGATATTACTATAGACTTCACAGAAATAAGGATTTTAAGAGAGTATTATGAACAGTTATATGCCAGCAAATTGGGTAAATCAGACAAAATGGTCAAATTCCTAGAAATACACAACACAAAGTACCAAACTGATCCAAGAAGAAACAGAAAAATCTCACAGCCCTGTAACTAGTAAGGAGATTGAAAAAAATAATTAAAAAACTTCCCACCCACCCCCCAAAGACCCAGAATAGATGGTTTCACTGGTGAGTTCACCAAATATTTAAAGAATTAACACTAATCTTTCTTCAACTCTTCAAAAAAATGGAAGAGGAATGGATGCTTCTTGGCTAATGCACTCAGACTGGCAACAAAGTCAGACTAAGATAGTATAAGAAAACGATATGCCAATAAGCCTTATGAAAATTAATATAAAGTCCTCAACAAAATAGAAGCAAACCAAATTTAGAGCACTTTTAAGAAAACAAAACAAGACCAAGAGAGATAAGTTCCTAGAATGCAAAGATGGTTCATTCAACATATAAAAATTAATCAAAGCAGTATATTGCATTAATAGAAAGGGGAAAAACACATAATGATCTCAACTGACATAGAAAACACAATTGATAAACATGGTTTCATGACAAACAAAAACACTCAATATACTTAGAAGCAAATTTCCTCAATGTGATAAAGGCCACATATGAAAAATTTAAAGCTAATATCATACTCAGTGGTAAAAACTGAAAGCTTTTTTTTAGACAACGTCTTACTTTATCGCCCTCAGTAGAGTGCCATATCGTCACAGCTCACAGCAACCTCCAACTCCTGGGCTTAGGTAATTCTCTTGCTTCAACCTCCCGAGTAGCTGGGACTACAAGCGCCCGCCACAATGCCTAACTATGTTTTGTTGCAGTTTGGCCTGGGCCAGGTTCAAACCTGCCACCCTTGGCATATGGTGCCGGTGCCTTACCCACTGAGCCACAGGTGCTCCTGAAAGATTGAAAGCTTTACCCCAAGATCCCAGGAGTAAGACAAGGATGCTATTTTTGCCACTTCTGTTCAACATAGTACTGGATGTTCTAGCCAGAGAGATTTGGCAAGAAAGGAAAAAAAGACATCTAAATTAGAAAAACAACATAAAAATCATCTCAGTTTGTAGAGGACATGATCTTATAGGTTGAAAACTCTAAAGAAGCCACAAAAAATTGTTAGAGAAAATAAATGAATTAAAATATCAGCTATTTTCTTCTACATGGGCCATGAATAATTTGAAAAGGAAAATTAAAAAAACAATTCCATTTACAATAGCATCAAAAATAAAAAACTTGGCTTAGTGCCTATAGCTCAAGCAGCTAAGGCACCAGCCACATATGCCAGAGCTGGTGGGTTTGAATCCAGCCCAGGCCTACCAAACAACAATGACAACTACAACCAAAAAATATCTGGGTGTTGTGATGGGCGCCTGTAGCTCTAGCTGCTTGGGAGGCTGAGGCAAGAAAATCACTTAAGCCCAGGAGTTGGAGGTTGCTGTGTGCTGTGATGCCATGGCCCTCTACCCAGGGCAACAAATTGAGGCTCTGTCTCCAAAGAAATAAAAAAATTAAAAAACAGGAATAAATTTAACCAATGAGGCAAAAGACACGTACATTGAAAACTGTAAAACACTGCTGAATAAAACTAAAGATATACTTTAATAAATGGAAAGACATCTATTTTCATGAATGAAAATAGTGTTTGAGAAATAGAAAAACTCATCCTATAACCAAAACAATCTTGAAAAAGAACAAAGTTGAAAGATTCACAATTCCTGAGTTTAAAACTTACAGCAAAGCTATAGTAATCAAAATAGTGTAGTATTCAGATAAGGACAGACATATGGACCAGTGAAAAAGAAGTGAGAGTCTAGAAATAAAGCCTCATAAATATAGTCAATTAATTTTTGACAGGACGCCAAAACCATTTAATGGGAAAGTCTTTTCAACAAATGATACTGGGAAGGAGGATATCCATATGCAAAAAGAAAGAAGTTATACCCTTATATTATATACAAAATTAACTCAAAATGGATCATAAACCTAAATTTAAGAGCTAATCAATGAAAATCTTAGGAAAAACAGAAGAAAATGTTCATAACCTTGAATTTTTAAGTATTATACACCAAAAGTACAAAAACAAAAGAAAAAATAAGAGTTAATAAAAATTGAAAAAATTATCCTTCAAAGAACATTATCAAGTAAGTGAAAAGATAATTCATGGAATGAAAGAAAACATTTGCACATCATATATATCTGAAAAGGGATTAATAATGTAGACTATATAAAGAACTCCTACAACTCAA